ATCCCCAGTGCGGGGCGTGCAGGAGGCAGCCAATCAATGATTCTCTCTCATCATTGATGTTTCTCTCTCCCTCTCTCCTTTCCTCTCTAAAATCAATAAAATATATTTTTTTTTAAAAAGAAAAACAACACATATGCTGCCATCTGTGTAAAAAAGGGAAATAAGAGAATATATGTCCACATATTTGCATATATACTATAAAAGAGACTTACAATAGCCACTGCCTTTGGGGAGAATGGCAGACAAAGGAGAGAGAATTTTCACTGCAGACCCTTTTGTGTATTTAAAAGTTTTGAACCATGTATTTAACCTAAGTAAAAATCGATAGTTTTGTAAATCACTTCACTTTATAAGGTAAAAATTAATTTATATAAAATGGAAACTTCACATCAGCCTGGTCAATGGAAATCCAAAGATCACTTGCACGTCCACAGTCAGCAAATGAAAATAAACAGTGTTAGTAGATGGTCATGGTCACTGGTTTCCTGCGGAGCCCAGAGACCAGGGCCTGTTCTCTATGAAAAGGGGGGTTCGCAAGTACCAGGCATTCGAGACAAGCCAGCACTTGTCCGAGGCTCTCTCCTTGATCAGCAGACTGAAGGACAAAAGCCTCACTGTGTGAGCCCCTCTGAGTGCAGGCCTTGTCTACGGGGCCTCTGCTCCGGTCAACACCACAGGCTCCCGCACGCACATCCGCCCATTCAAATTCACTCACGCACACGACTTACTGAGCGACTTCTGAGGCCCTCCAGGATCACTCCAGGTCTCCAGGAGTTCTCATTCTCACCGTTTAGTGCTTACGGCTCTCAGGCCCACCGCCGACTCTTTTCAGCTGCACTGAGTAACCCTCCAGTCACCCCCTCTCTGCCTGCTCCATGAGGTCACACCCCTCCAGGGCCCTCCCCCCTCCCACTGTTCACAGACCACTCAACCTTCTCTCGGAATCATCTCAGTATCCCCAGAATTTAGGACAGTCCGAATCAGGCACATAGTAGGCACTCAACATGTCCTTGTTGAACAAATCGTTGAGAGTAAATAATTGTCTTCTGAACCTTCCTCCCATACTCCCTCTGTCCTGAGCTCCAGCTACAAAGCCTGGCCCCTGTTCTAACTTATTTAGGGCTTTTTCTCTTAGCCCCGCCCTTGCCCTACCCCCACACCCGGCTCGGCCCCCAAAGGTGGGGGCACCAGGACTTAACTTTCCCAGGCAAGTCTCCAAGGCAGCGTCCCAAGTCACGAGGCCCAGCGCCACTACCTGGCCGCCACACCAAAGCCCCTACTGCAGATATCTAAGGCCCGCCTTGGTCGACTCCCCTCTCCTGGCCACCCCCTACCCCGCTCCCAGGTCCCAGGTGTGACTGGTCTCTAGGCTGATGGTGCTTTTGCAGGCAGTGTCAGAGACCCTCCATGGCCCAGCCCTCCTCTAGCCACACCCCTAAACCAGCTCCCCCTCTCACTGGGCCCGCCCCAGCCCCCAATCCCTAGTCCACCCCAGCACACAGCAAATTAGCCAAACCCTGTTCCTCAAGCCTGTCCCCTGCTCCCCCCCAACTCCCCACTTCTGCAGGGCTAACCCTTTCAGGGTCATAACCCCAGAGACTACGGGCCCTAGCTAACACCCTGGGAGGATCTGCCTCTTCTCCTGGCACCCCAGCGCTTTGGCTTCCTCAGGTCCAGTCCCTCCTGGTCTGGTCCCAGACTGACCATGCCTAGCTTAGCCCCCAAGGCACCAAGGGTCTGTCTTAGCGCTTCTGGCACTGTTTCCAACCCACATAACCTAGTCTGGGCCTGAGTCTGGGGCCTGAGTTCCTGCCCCAAAGTTCTAGGTCCTGGGCACCTTACAGTTTAAATCCTTTCTTTTTATTCCATCCTCTTCCTGGGACTGAGCCTTTTAAGTGACTAATTAATGTGGGGAGCAGATAAGACTTGTTGTATCCTTGGAAAGCCCCCAGATTTTATTTTGCTGTCAGTATTTCAGTATCTCACAAATG